CAATTAGCATAGAAGACTCAAATCCTAAGGAGAAGTCCCCCACACAAGGTTAGGCAAGATACTTACCTCAATCCGGCCAATTCAATACTCAATTTATCTTTTCCTTTACCAATTGATCAACGCTCGGCTCAATCTAGCCAAAAACGACTTGAATACATCAAACAATGCAAGAGAAAACAATTTCAATTGACAAAACTATGATTCTTATACAATTTGCAAAAAGTCAACAAAAGTCAACTCCCCGGGCCCGCACCTCGAAACCCGACAAAATTTACAAAAATCGAACAAACATTCCGCTACAAGTTCACCCATATAAAAATTATCTAATTTCGATACCATTTGGTCATTCAAATCATCATTTTACATTTTTGAAAGATTTCACAATTTCCCCCTAATTTTCCTTTAGATTCTCATGAATTTGATGTTAAATCTAAGATATAATCACAAAATATAGTTGAAAATTGATTAGAGACACTTACCCAATAATTTGGAGAAGTTTGGGTCCTTGGAAAATCGCCTATGAGGGTTTAGGGTTTGAGAAAACTAAAAAATGAGTGAAAATCTCGTCAAAAACATCACTTAACATGCCTCAGATGTCGCATTTGCGAACCCCTCGCAATTACGAGCAACGCAAGGCTGGTAGAAGTCACATTTGCGAACTGGTCATCGCAAATGCGACAAAAAGTTCGCGTTTGCGACCACACCAGAACCAGCAATTTTTTCTGACACGGAAATGAGCATAACTTCCTCATACGATGTCCAAATTCGATGATTCTTTTTCCTATGGCTCCGTAATTTCAATACAGATCTAATGGTTCAAACAAAACTGAATTTGGATCTCATTTTCTCAATATGGTATTATTTTTTTGCTTGAAGAAATGACGATGAAGCATCCAAAAACAAGCGCAACATAGCCTAAACCTATCTGAAACACACCCAAGCCCTCGGGGCTCCAAAACAAACATGCACGCAAGTCTAAAAACCTCATACAGACTTGCTCGTGCAATCAAATCATCAAAATAACATAAAAACTATGAATTTAACCTCAAAACTCATGATTTTCTAACTTTTCAACCGGACGTCCAAATCACGTCAAATCAATTCCAGTTTTCACAAAATTTTACAGATAGGACTTAAATATCATAACAAACTTGTACCGGGCTCCGAAACCAAAATACGGGCCAACGAGTTCAAACATTAATTCATTTCTTTATTTCCTTTAAAAACCAGCACAACAATTTTCTTCAAAAATTATTTTCTGTGGCTAGGGACCTCGGAATTCAATTCCGGGCATACGCCCAAGTCCCATATTTTACTGCGAACCTCCAGGGATCGTTGGAACACAGATTCGGGTCCGTTTACCAAAAATGTTGACCAAAGTCAACTAAAAAACTAAAATTTAACTCTAAAAATTACTATTTATTTTAATATTTTCACATAAAAGCTTTCTGGTTTCACGCTCGGACTGCGCACACAAGTTGATACACATAATATGAAGCTACTCGTGACCTCAAACTGCCGAACCGGATGAAATTTCTCAAAACGACCAGTCGGGTCGTTACACTTATTGTTAGGATCTATTGTTCCCCCGCAGCATGTTCCATTCCCACTTTATTCTATTGATTTTCGTTACTATGTTTCTATTTATACATGATGTAACTGCACAAGTGTATACATGATTTTCGTGTCCTAGCCTCGTCACTACTTCGCCGGGGTTAGGCTCGACACTTACTCAGTACATGGGGTTGATTGTGCTGATACTACACTCTGCACTCTTTTGTGCAGATTTCGGTACCAAACTCGGTGAGTAGCTGAGGTAGCTGCCTTCACTCTAGGGAGACCAAGGTAGATCTGCTGGCGTCCCCAGAGCCTAGAGTCCCCCTTCCCAGCTTTACCTTTCCTGCTGTCTCTTTCTTTCTGAGAACAGTTGTATCTTTCTTTCTAGACCAATGGTTGTAGTAAAAATCATAGATGTTCGTGATATTGTGACACCAGATTCATGGATAGACATGTATTGAAGTTTTTGGATTTATTTTACATTTTCGTGCTTTTCATTTGTTTTAGCTAAAATTACTGCTTATCACTGTTTGAGGTTGAATGTTAATGTGAAGAACTGTAATAGTTGGCTTGCCTAGCTTTCACGAGTAGGCGCCATCACGTCTCCCGCGGGTGGAAAATCCGGGTCGTGACAAGGTTACAGTCAACAAGAAAGTTTGGACTACCCAGAAACTTTTTCTCCTGTGGCAAATATGGTTACTGTGAGACCTGTGGTTGCATTAGCTGCTGCTTTAGGATGGTATGTGTTTCAAATGGATGTTCACAATGCCTTTCTTCAAGGAGATCTTCTTGAAGAGGTATATATGCATGTTCCTGATGGCTATTCAAGCCAGGGGGAGTGTCAACATGTGTGCAGATTGCATAAGTTACTCTATGGATTGAAACAGGCTCCTAAACAATGGAATCTAAAACAGACTAAAGCTCTTATAGATATGGGATTTGCACAAAGTCACTATGACTACTCCTTGTTTACTAAGAAGATAGATTCTGAATTAGTAGTTATCCTTGTCTATGTAGATGATCTTCTAGTGACTGGAAGCAGCCTAAGTCTGATCAACAAGTCAGGAAGGATTTGCAAGATAGGTTCAAAATGAAAGATCTTGGTGAACTAAAATACTTTCTAGGAATTGAGTTCTCTAGATCCCAGGAAGGAATTGTTATGCCAAATGAAGTATGCTCTGGAACTAGTTTCTGAACTAGGGCTAGCAGGTACAGAGCCAACAACAACACCTCTGGAGTTCGATCACAAGCTTACATCCATTGAGTATGACAAGCAAATAACAGAAGCTGGATCTATAGATGATAGAGAACATGAAGACAAGGGAGGTTATCAAAGACTGGTTGTAAGGTTGCTGTACATAACCATGACAAGGCCAAATATTGCCTTTGTGGTTCAAGTGCTAAGTCAGTATATGCATGCACCTAAGGTGTCCCACATGGAAGCTGGCCAAAGAGTAGTGAGGTACAAAAAAACTGCCCCCGGACTTGGGCTGTTTATGTCTGCAAAAGCAAGCAAATCCCTGTATGCATACTGTGACTCTAATTGGGGGGCATGTGTAGAATCTAGGAGATCGGTGACAGGTTATGTAGTAAAATTTGGTGATTCATTGATATCATGGAAATCAAAAAAATAAGGAACGGTATCCAGGAGCACTGCTGAAGCTGAATTTAGAAATATGGCATCTAATGTAGCAAAGGTGGTGTGTATGACAGGACTTTTTAGGGAGCTGAGAGTTGAAATAGTTCAGCCTGTACAGTTGCATTGTGACAGTAAGGCTGCAATACAAATTGCAGCTCACCCTATCTTTCATGAACAAACCAAACACATTGACATTGATTGTCATTTGTGAGAGAGAAACTGGTTCAAGGCCTGATTAAAACTCAAGTTGATAGAACAACTGAGCAGTTGACAGACTTGTTAACTAAGAGCCTATGCAAGCCACAACACGAGTATCTACTAAACAAGCTGGGAATGAAAGATGTATTTCATCCCTCAGCTTGAGGGGGAGTGTCGAGTATAGTGGAACCCACCTATTTAAGAGTTGAGTGTAATTAGTTGTAACTAATCTTAGCTGTTAGTTAGTGTTAGTATGAATAGTGTAGTCGGTTAGTTATATTGCACAACTATCATTTCCTTTCTTCTCAGTTGTGAAATAACAGAGCTTTCTTCTTCATCTTTTTTCCTTCTACTAGAATCTTCATCTACCATGGCTGAGCTTCTTAACATTAATTCATTCTTGATATCTAAAAATATCAAATATTATGGACCACAGAAAGGCCAAAAAATTAATTAAAGTGGACCAGCAGAAGTATCAATTAGGTATACTTTTCGTAAAAGATTTATTGAGAGTTACCTTATCTGTGATACGATAATATAAATAATTTTACATTGTTAGTTGATAAAACTCAATTTACAAATTAATGGATTTAACATATATTAAATAACAATATAAGGAATTATTACAATACTATGTTTGGTTGATTTTACAATAAACATTAATATTCGCTGCATAATTTTGATTGGCTTTATTAAACTCTGCATTCATAATATACCACATAATTTATACTCCTTCCGTCTCAATTTATGCTGCGTTTACGAATTTCGAGGATCAAACAAGTTAACTTTGACTGTGAACTCGGAATAGAATCTTTAAGTTTTTTGAAATAAAATTTACATATTTTGAAAACTATGTAAAAAATATTATAAGTCAAATTAATTATTAATTTAGAATATGTAAAAGTCATATGAAAAAATTCCGATTAAAAAAAATTCAGTTGACTCTCCAAAATCAAATAACGCACGTTCATAGATACTATATATATATATATATATATATATATATATATATATATATATATATATATAAAAGCAGTAACTAAAAGCTAAAAGACCAATTTAGGTTAAATTTCACCTAACAATTCTTACATTATTATTCGATCATATAACAACTCATTCGATATTAATCATTATAATTCAGAGTATACAACTAGTCTTAAACCAAAGGAGCCCTATAAATAAGTAAGTTCGTGAGCCGACTGATACACGTGCATGAACATGATTTGCATTACTTAATAAGTAAAGACGCATAATAGCAGAAATTGTAGGCCACAAGTGGCGGGTGTATAGGACTGAAAATGACGGAAGTAATAATATAATAATAAAATTAAAACGAGGAAAATCTTCATTTATCACGTGCTTTAGTTAGCATAACGCAGCTGTTTAATTTGAGTTTGTGGGGAACGCCATCTTTTTAGACATATGTCTCTTTACACCTTCTTTTAGGAAGTGTCTGTTTCGTGTTCAAAACGTCTATTTTTATCAATTGTATTAAAAACGTTGCTTTTACTTTTTCTAATACTCTAATGGAACCCCCCCCCCCCCCGCACAACCCCAACTCCACTATCCAAGAAAACCAACTTGTATATATTCATTCAAATTCCCCTTTCTTCTTCATTAATTCTCTACTGCAATATCACAACTTTTACTTGATCCAACTTCAATATCTTGATTCACTAATATTTCTTGATTCCTTATCTCCCTTTTCTTTATATATATATATATAGGAAAAGCTCTATTCATTGGCAGCTAGCTTTTGATCTGTAGAGTTTGTGGCTGAAGTCAAAAGAAGATGAGAAGAAACTGTAACTTGGAGCTCAGGCTTATGCCTCCTTCTTTTTCTTTTTCTCCTAAGAGTTGCACTACCCCCTACTTCTCTATGTAAGTCTCTCTCTCTCTCTCTCTCTCTCTCTCTCTCTCTCTCTCTCTCTCTCTCTCTCTCTCTCTCTCTCTCTCGCACACACACATATTAATTCTACATGTTTTAGGTTTTAAAAGTTTTTAAGTTTTTCGCCTTCTTGGATAGCAATGATATAAAGGATATGTGTATATATAACATAAAGCGAAGGCATAAAAATACTGCTAATCTTGTCTCCTTGTAAATTATGCATAAGGTACTGAATATTTTCTTTCTTTCTTCTATATATAGGAATAGGGAGGATAAAGAAAACACAGAAGAGAAAGAACCACAGCAGCTAACAATATTTTACAATGGAAAGCTTGTGGTTTCTGATGCTACTGAACTTCAGGTATGTACTGTATCTGCAGTTTTTTTCTATTTCTAATTTCTGTAGTATTACTTTTTTTCCCGGGTAGAAAGAAGTTTAATTGTATGGACCTTCTGTGCACCCTTTGGTCACTCTATCATGACTTTGCATGTGTTGTAATATTTGTACAATTTCGTCGTTTTATAAGTATTATTTCATGGAAGATGGTGTAACGAAAATTCTCATAACATTCGAATCCAATAAAGGACAGAGAGGGTGCCCTACCCACTGGTTTTTTTTTTTCCGCCTTTAGGGACAGAGAGGGTGGTAACTGGATTTGTTTTTTGGTTTGAGTTAAAAAGATACTGCAATACTATGTTTTATTATTCATTAAATACTAAAGGATCAAATTCTATATTTTAATTTGATCCAAAGAAATTGAGACCACAAAAAGAATCACACTTTCATTAAATGTGTTTGTTCAAGATTAGGTATCCCTTTGGACACGGATTTTGGGTATTTTTTTTTTTTTTTTAAAAAAATTGAACCTTTTCTTTCAAGTTCCCAAAAATTAGTTTTGGGCAATTTTTTGGTGAAGTACTTTTCTTCCATTCACTAAACTTAAAATTTTTTTCAAATAAAATGCATGTCGAACCACAACATCAATTTTCAAAAATTATTTTTTCACACAATTTCAAAAACTCTTTTTCATGTTTCAACCAAATATATGTCCAAACGCTAGCTAATACTATTTTATATGTCCAAAGAAATTGAGTGTTATTTTTACCATATCTACTAGCACTATCTAATAAATCCTAGTAATTTATTTCTATTCGTTTATTCAAATGCAGGCTAAAGCAATAATATATCTGGCAAGTAGAGAAATGGAGAAGAAAATAAAAATCCGGTCACCAATTTCAGAATCATCATCACCAATTTCAGAGCCTTCATCACCACTTTTACAATCTCCAGCTTCTGATATTTCTATGAAGAGATCTCTACAAAGGTTTCTGCAAAAGAGAAAAAATAGAATTCAAGCAACTTCTCCTTATCATCGCTAGTTTAGTTCCATTTGTACATATATTTTGTAATTTGCTGGGAGAAATTGGAAAATTGGATTAGTAAGCATAACACTAATGTATCACTTAATTTTACAGTTTTGGCAATGCAATTTTTTCATATAGGCAACAACTATTGGGATCGAAAATTACAAAGACGTCTTGCGAAAGCTAACAAATAAATATCGAGCGATGATAAATCAAAGAACAAAGAGAATTATACTACAAAAATATAATATACTATAATATAGTTTTGGACAATTGACCTACATAAATTTACTATAACATAAAAGAGAAATAAATTGATGAGAGAATAAATTCTGCTGCTAGACAAAACTCTCTTAAAGACTATATTGTTGATGGTATTATTTTTTTGTGCGGAAAGGAACTTCATAGAAATCCAAAATCTTTTCCTCCAAGAAAGAGATTAGTCAAATATGATAGAGATCTATATTTTTCTTTTAGAAAAAGTAAAATTAGTTATGGTCGATACTTAGCCATTCCTTCAAATAAAAGAAAACTCAAATATGATAAGAAAATCAGGACAACTCCTAATACCAATGATAGTTCATCCTAGTGATCCAAGTTTAATTTGCAAGAAGATGCCCCAGAGAAAAGATATAGGGAAATAGAGAGAAATAGAAAGGGAAGAAAATCAAGAAACACATTTATCTATATTCTATATCTATATATAAAGTGTCACGACCCGGAATTTTCACATCGGGATCATGATGGCGCCTAACATTTCACTTGCTAGGCAAGACAACGTTAGAACAATCTACTCTTCTAACAATTTAAATCAGATATTAAAGAAGAATTGAGATAACTGAATAAATTTAAAGTAACATTGCGGAAGTTGAAGTAGCCAAATATCTATTTCAATTCCCTGAACCTAGTGTCACGAGTGCATGAACTACTAGAGTAATACATATAAGGGTCTGAAATAAGTAAAAAGCTGTTAGAATGAAAGTACACAACTAAATAGACAGAGGAGGTGGACTCCAGGAGCTGCGGGCACTGAAGAGACGTACCTCAAGTCTACGCGAATGTCCGATCCGAGCTCTCTAGTAGCCACTGCCGGGACTGTAACGACCCAGCTGGTCGTTTTGAGCAATTGCACTTCGCTCGATTGTTTGAGGACATGAGTAGCTCTGCCTGATGTAATATGACTTATGTGAATCGTCGCTTTTGGTTTTTCAGGTTATCCGAAATTGATTTGGGATAATGGTCTCAACTTGAAGCTTTAAATTGGAAAGGTTTGACCAAGTTTTGACTTTTTAGTAAACGACCTCGGATTGGATTTCTGGTTGTTCTGTTAGCTCCGTTGGGTGATTTCGGACATAGGAGCGCGTTCGGAATGTATTTTGGAGGTTCGTGGTAGAATTAGGCTTGAATTGGCGAAAGTTAGAATTTGGCAATTTTTGGTCGACAATGAAAAATTTGATATTGGGATCGGAATGGAAATTCAGAAGTTGGAGTAGCTTCGTAGTGTCATTTGTGACGTGTGTGTAAAATTTCAGGTCATTCGGAGGTGATTTGGTAGGTTTCGGCGTAGTTTGCAGAATTTGGAAGTTTAGAAGTTCTTAAGCTTGAATCCGAGGTTCATTTGGTGTTTTGATGTTGTTTTGAGTGTTCCGAAGGTTCGACTAAGTTCGTATGTTGATGTGTGACTTGTTAGTATTATTGGTTGAGGCCCTAAAGGTCTCGGGATGGTTTCGGATGGTTAATGGAGGATTTGGAAATGGAATAAGGTAGCTGAAGCTGCTGCTTCTGATGTTTCCGCACCTGCGGAGTGGGAACCGCAGGTTCGAGGGCCGCAGATGCGGAATGGAACCACAGATGCGGAAATTGGAAAGCTGAGGACGGAGCACAGGCTTGCCGCACTTGCGCGCCTGCAGGTGCGAGACTTGGGGCGCAGGTGCGGAAGCTGGTGAGTTAAGTGGAGTTCGCAGGCGCGGCGCCTTGACCGCAGGTGCGGTCGCGCAAGCGCAAGAAATAGAATGCGAATGCTGAAGTTCTGGGCAGAAAGTATAAATTGTGGACTTCGCGAATTTTGGGTCATTCTTCATTATTTTTATCCGATTTTGGAGCTTTTGGGAGTAATTTGAAGAGGGATTCAAAGGGGTTTTCATGAGGTAAGTTATTTGAGCCCTAATATTCGTGTTTATGGTAATTTACCATTGTTTAATCATGTAATTAGTGGTGATTAAGGTTGAAAATGAGGGGTTTGGGCTTGGGATTTTGGAGAGTTTGGTTGAGGATTTAAGGGGTCAAATGGAGTCGGATTTTGATAAATCTTGTATTCATGGACTCGTGAGTGAAAGAGCTTTCCAGTTCTCTTTCTTTTGTCATATTCCGAGACGTGGGCTCGGGGGCCGGGTTTGAGAGGATTTCGGGATTTGTGCCTAATTTGATAGTTTTTCTTGTAGAATTTATTTCATTAGCGTATATTGATGGTATTATTCTGGTTGTGAATAGATTCGGAGCGATTGGAGGTAGAATCAAGGGGCAAGAGCATCACGGAGTGGACATTTGACCGGTTTGAGGTAAGTAACGATTGTAAATCTAGACATGAGAGTATGAAACTCGGGATTTTAGTATCGTTTTACTATTTTGAGGTGAAGCGCATGCTAGGTGACGGGCGTGTGGGCTGCACCATTGAGGATTACGACTCGGTCTGTCCCATAGCAACTATACAGTTGCGTATTTGACTGAAACTATAAGATACTTATATGTTTTAGAAAGAGTTTCTATAAATTGGGCTGAATGCCATATTTGGGCCTTGTGCCAAAGCTGTTTAGACCCTTAGGGGCCTTTTTCTTATTATTCTCTCTCACTGTTTTTGATTGAAAATCTATACTCAGTCATGTTATACTTACTGATTTCATAACTCAGTCTTTATTGCTCTATTTTGATGCATATAAACGTTGTTTAGGGCTGAGTATACTGTTTTTACTGAGAACCCGAGTGGCTTGAGAGGTTTATGACTGAGTGACGCCGAGGGCCTGATTTGTGAGGATATTTATGGGATCGGGCAGCACGCCGCAACATGTTGTTACTGATTCATGATTGAGTGAGGCCGAGGGCTTGAATGATTTACGCTACGAGGTGACTTGTTATAGCGCTTGGGCTGAAGGAGCCCCTCCGAAGTTTGCACACCCCTAGTGAGTGCGGGTAACCTGAGTGATGTTTTGCCCGAGGGGCTGTATATGAGTGATGTTTTGCCCGATGAGCTGTATATGAGTGATGGTGAGGTATGCCCGAGGTGCTCTATACGAGTGACTGTGAGGTTGCCAGAGGGGCTGCTTATGGGTGATGTTTTGCCCTAGGGGATGTTTATGTTTTTATCATTTTTGCTTACTGTTGCACTGATCCTCTGTTTGAGAACTGCTGAAAAATATCTTCAATTGATTTTACTGAAACTGAGTTTAAACGAAAACATTTGATTCAATCTCTACTTTTAAAAGCCTGATGTACTTTTACTAAGATTTCATGATATGAACTTATATGCTTTATTGCTTGTCACTGCTTCTTAGCCTTCATTTACTTTGGTTACTTACTGAGTTGGCGTACTCACGTTACTCCCTGCACCTTGTGTGCATATCCAGGTATTTCTGGACCCGATAGCGGGTGTTGATTATTCAGTTGCGGATCCATCAGAGTTAGCGAGGTAGCTGCCTGGCTATCGCAGGCCTGCTTTCCTCCATCTTCATCTTCCCTTAGTTGTTTTCAGTTATTTCCAGACTATGTTAGTCTCGATATTATCAAACGGTTATAGTAGATGTTCATGACTAGTGACACCCCGATGTCAGACTTTCTTTTCCACACTTTTGTTTTGATTTACACTCCTTATGAATGTTTTATATTAAATATCTTTGGGAATTATCTTGAAAATGAAAATCTCGTTTGTTTTGGTAATCTGTCAGCTTGCCTAGTACCACGATAGGCGCCATCACATCATGGTTGATTTTTGGGTCGTGACAAGTTGGTATTAGAGCTTAGGTTACATAGGTCTCACGAGTGATAAGCAGGTTCAGTAGAGACTTGCGGATCGGTACGGAGACGTCGATACTTATCTTCGGAGGCTACAGAACCCTTAGGAAACTTCACATTCTTGAATTCTTATCGTGCGGTATTGATTCAGCTTGAAGTGTAACTCTTTGAATTCCTTTCCATCAACGGATTGTGATTCCCTGGATGAGGTGCGAGATGTGATTTCTTTGTGTTAATGTTGGGCCAGTCTGGAGGACTTGAGGCCGGGTTTTGACTGTAGCTTGAGCACTGAGGTGTTGATTGTGTGAGCACGTGTATTCGGGACTTATATGCCCGTTTGTGTCCTTATTAGTTGAAATGGTGGCTGGATGGCTACGTGATGCGTATGATGTGACCGCGAGTTGAGTTCATATGATTTGAATTTGACGAGAAGGGCCTGCTTAAGGTGTAGAAAGAACTATTTAGTTCTTGATTTCCATCTTGATTTGATGTATAGTCCTGAGTTGTGGGTGTGTTGAAGGATCTTTTCATGTTGTTTAGTGAGGAGTGAAGTAGACTTCATGTCGTGATATGAGTTCAGACTCAGGAAGATTTAGCGATTGCGTGATGTTTATGACGGTGGAAGGGTATAAAGAGATGTTAGTTTGAGGAGAAGTAGGTGGGTTATCTCCTGCGGGTGTCCTGAGGGTGTGTGATCCCTATGTTATTTTATAGCGAGTCCTCTTTTGCCAGTGAATTATATGTGCTGCTATTCGAGTTTGGATTGCGTATGAGAGTTGGCGTGACTGTTAGTGAATGTGAGATTTGCAAATGATTTGAGGTATTAGATGGGTTGTGTTGCATGAGCTTATGAAGGATTTACTTGAATCTCACTATGGCATTATGGTAGTAATAGAGCATGGGCATCGTGAGTATTGTGCTTTTTGATCTATGGCTTTGAGCCAAGTGGGGGAGTCTGCTATTGATCAGTTGACTGCACGGTTATGTGTTGTATTGGTTTCAGTTTGAGGCATACTGGCGGATCAGTTGTGGCTTACAGAGGTTGAGATCGAGGATGACTCGAGTAAAGGAAATTTTGGATAAGGTTTGTGTTATGATTTATGGGTATATGAGAAGCATTGGATGATTTAGTTGTTGTTG